CAGAGGTTCTGTTTATTACTCCCCAGGCACATGCCCTGGTATTCTGTGCTTTTGAGCTTCATCCTATTCCAACTACACCAGCCCTCAAGGTCAGCCTACATCTGCCCTGTAATATTCCAGCCTTTCTTACTACAGGTGCCACCCAACTTCCTGCCATCAGCAAGTTTCACAGCACACTTGAAATGCAGGGTGTGAGAGTTAAGTCCCAAACGCAGCACTGGGTAAATGTCTCAAAGCTGAACAGCCCTATTTCTCTTCTCTTTTCTCTGCTGGTGGTTTTTGTTTGGCTGGGTTTTTGCCCCCCTAGGCAGATCATCACTTCAGCACGTTTGGTTGCCTGTTCATCTGTACTGTGGTGTGACACAGCTGTGTGTGAAATACAGGAAAGCTTCTGTAGTCCCAGAAGAGGATTTAAGTGCTCAAGTAACAGGTGTTTATGTTCCAGTGCTGTTGGTGCTGGTAACATAGACATTAGCGCCCTCAATGCCCACAAACACATTTGAAGTCTGCTAGTATCTTGTGCAAGCACACACTGATCTATGTGTGGATCTCTGTAAATGGTTTGTTGTGGGTGTCGATACTTTCTGGGCAATGGGTCTCCTAAATTAGCTTAGTATTTCTCATGTAATTAAAAGCTTAGTTTACACAGGGGGCTATTTTGCTTTAATATGCTCAGATATCTATGTGATATTTAATTTACTACAGCACAACATTCAGATTAATACATTAGGACTATATTAAATACAGAAAACTTAAATTTATTACAAACTAGCTAAGTCTTGTTTACTAATTGGAAACTATTACTATATACGGCAGAGTTTCTAGTGCATCTGCAGAGATTACGTTTTGGCTTACTGTTATTTGTGATTTGTCAGTGATTTGAAAGATGGCTGATAAAAGTTTTCAGGTGAAACAAGACCCAGTGTAACCATGCATAATGGGACGGTCACTCATAGCTTACAAAGCCATCTTTGGTATGCTCAAACAATACACATTTCAGTGGAGACAGATCCAAGGTCATGCAACTGGGAACAAAAAGTGTCAGTCATCCTGGCGGAATGAGAGACTGCCTCTCAGAAAGCAGCGACTCTGAAAAGGGCTCTGGGATCATGGGTGCTGGGATCATCCAGCTGCACAGCAGCTCTCAGCACAATGCAGCTGCTAAATGTGCCAGTTTTGCTGGGAATATACAATAAGAGCATGAGGTGAGGTTATCTCTGGGCAAAGCAAAACTATTTCTGGATATCCTAATCTGGTGTTTCTGCTAAAGAAGGATGTGGAAAGATAGGGAGAGTTTTGCAGAAGAGCTACAAGAATGACTCAAGGTCTCAAAACCAAGAAGAGCACAGCATGCCATGAAAAGCCCATTGCTTGAAACTGCTTAACAGGAGGTTCATACTTGACTTGAACACAGTGTGGAAGTACCTATACAAGTAGAGAAGCTATCTGATAGTAGCGTGCTCTTTGCATGTACAAAATAATAACAAGATACAGCAGTTGCAATCTGAAACTAACTGAAGTGAGAGGCACCAGATTATTTTATCTGCCAAATTCTGTCAAGATGTGTGATATTTTTAATAAAGATGTGTTGGGAGGAGATCAAATGTATTTTCTGCTTCACCACAGACACGTGAGTCAGGTTTACAAAAGGTTACTCTCTCTGTTTTGCACAATTCAGTGGCAACTGCTATAGCATTCCCAATTTCTTTTAACAGCAAAGGTGCATAAAGTAACATCTACAAACTGAAGCAGTCAGTTAATAAAATACACAGCTACTACCATCTAATCTAAAAGTCAGTAGCTGTCAATGTTTTCAGGCTATTTCATGTTACATAGGTAATCCTTCCACAGCCAAAAAACCTTTTAATTTGAACCTTTAAACTGGATGGTGCTTGACTACAAAGCTGTTACTTCTGTCACAATGTAAATGCTGTCAACATGTTGTCTTATTGGTCCTCAAAATGCACAGGGTGCCTCTTAGTTGCACCTAACTTTTTCTCTGGTCCGGTAACAGGAAAAATGCTTTAGGAGGCAGGCTGACGGCAGCTGACCTCATTGCAGATGAGAGGAGACTGTGTTAACTTGGTAGCTATATAATCAGTCTGAAATTTAACTTTCCCTTCCACTTGCAACACCGCTTGTCTTGCCTCTGTTTGTAGCGTTTGCTCTGTTTTAATTTCTAGACAAATAGCTCTTCTGTAATGCTTAAACATTGCTGGCTTCCCATATCTATGGGTTTTGTCCCTTATTGCCCATAATTCTTTGAACAGGAAATCTCAGTGGAGCACTGAGAAATGTGCTGTGATAATCTAACAAGACCAGACATGGTTTCCTTGGACCTCTGGTTCTTTATTATATTTACTGAACTGTCTTCTTTCTAGCCCATGTGGCAGTGCCTAATAAGTACTTGTTTTAGTGTGCTTGATGTAATTTCTCAAGCAAATTGCCGAAATAAGTCATTAGCAAAATGCAGGCCGTTATCTGGTATTAGCTCATCTGGAATCCAGGACATGTAAATGGTGATTTAGAGTGTGGTTTACACTGTTATTCAACATGTTTTGTAACAAGTTAAAAACTATTAATAATTCATCTTTTCTGCTTAGTCCAAATATATCTGTATCAACAGCAACCGCAGGTCTCTTATGGCTTCCAAAGTTCTTTTGCATAATTTTCCGTATTTATTGCAGAATTTGTACTTGGATTCCTTATCTCGAGCAACAGCATTTGCCTGACCACAGTAGGATGTTTTTCAGTCCTTCATCTTGTACAGAGCTAGATGGATACTGCAAATTATGTTTACTGGTTTTGACCTCATTTTGCATGATGGGACTACTGCATAGCCTCTTGTACCTTTTATCCTGCAAGGTGGGAGAGTTTCTCTTCTCGAGAGTTTCTCCATTTGGAATTGTTCTCTTATGTTTCACTAAGAGTAGTTCATTTTATGCATCTTACTTGAGACTGTATAATTCTATTACAGAAGTGGGTCATACTCAAATTATACATGACTCCAAGCACATCATCTTGCAGCTTCTTGCATTTTCTCTACATGTAAATACATGAAATGATTGAAAATCTGTGCATCAGTAAAAGCTCCATACTGCGCATGCCATCCAGTAGTTTTATCACTTTATAATAATTCTGGAACCTTAGAAGCATCTGTAACAGCCCAGGATGCTGTGAACTGGCACACTGGCAACTGTACCAAGGCAAATTCCTGTATCTTCAGGAATCCCTTCTTTTAGTTCTTCATCAACGTGTTTAAGAATACTTTCTGTATCATCTTAAGGTCCTTTCCAACCCTAACAATTCTGTGATTCTATGATAAGCAGACAAGCTATATGTCCATCCAACTATTGGGTTTTCCACCAGTACATTCATCCATAGGTTTTTCTTGCTTCAGCGTCTCAGATTTTGCTAGGTTGGTTGTCTTTCCACAACCACGCAAACCCAGCCTCACCACACCTTCTGTTATTGTACTTGCTTTATAAAATCAGCTTTTAAAGCCAACCTCTGATAATCTGTTGTTTTCCCAGTTCAGCTCTGATTCCATTTCAGTCAGCTGTTTTCATAGAGCATGTGCCTTGCTTTATTTGTAGTTTTGAGGGCTGGGCTGACTTTGCACCTAAATGCTCCTAAACTCCTTTCCTCCACATCAGTGTCTGCCACAAGGGAAGTGGGGTGGCACGGCTGCCCCATGGTGGCACACTCCAGTGTTTTGGCAGTGGTTGCCTCCTCCCCTTCCCTAGCTGGTGCACCTCCCTGATGAACTGCTGTCCCTTGTCCCAGCTGGAAATATAAAGTGACACTTCCAACACCTTGCTCTGGTACTTGCTTGTGCACAAAATTATCCCTGGCCAGGTTATATCCCTGGCCAAAGCTACGTCACTTGCCCTTGTAATGTACTAAAAGACCAACAAGGAACAACATTTTATCATCCTTATCAGAGCTCTGTCCTTCAGCTGCACATTCATGTATTTCCTTTTGTAAGTCTGTAATTTGCACTGAGAACACATTCCAGTGAAATAGAGAGGGGGTTTACTGCATGCCTAACAAGGTAGCCCTTCGGGGAGAGACTACTGCGTTGTCTTATTTTGTTCCAAATTTACTGCAAATAAATTCAATAAATCATCTCTGCACTTGTTTACTGTATTACCTGTT